TGTACTTTCTTATTATTTATAAGTAAATATAGCAGTATCAGAAGAACTTTGTGAGTAGATTTAATTTGCTACTGGCTTATCCTAAAAATAAACGTGGATAAAACCATATCTGTTGAGAAGGCTACCTCGTGTAGGAGTGCCAACCCAAATTGAGACCGATAAAAAACTGAAGTAGTCGATGGGGATACTTACCAACATAAATATATATGTTATTTATTCTAAAATGTAACAATTTGTAAAATTAAATAAAGCTGACTTTGTAAACTTAAGTATCATACTTTACTTTTGTAGGCATTAAATGTCTCGCAAATGTTTTTATAATACATCAACATAATGGTGTTAATAAGGTTTAAAATGTAAGCCATCATTTAACTTTCTTTAGCATTTAAATTTGAATTGCGTCTGCTCCTGACAATCAATATGGCGGCTTCACTGACTTTCTCGTAGCAGAAAAAATAAGTTAACTCATGCCTTTTGTTGCAATTATTTCAATTTTTAGTCCGTTCACCCATATTTATTACGACGGCATTTGAAAGATGAAGTTAAAATCTACAATACGTGTAAATTCATGATATCCAACACTTTCGATTGCTGTTGTGAATCGTTGTTTTTAGTAAGTGTACCACGACCGCTCTTATTAAGGTGGCTCCAGCGCCTAGTGCCGTATCAAAATGGGGAGACTAAAAATTAATCATTATTTTCTTTAAAATATGGTATAAAATTATCGTAGAGACTGTTGTAAGCCATATTCTACATTTTATCTGTTACTTTAGTGAGTTAATATGAAAAAACAAAAAAGTTGTATGGTGCCCTCATTGATGAACTGTTGCGGTACGCTCCTAAGTTCAAGAGTAGTTATACCTATATATATGTACTCTGCGGAATGCAGACAGCTGAGAGCTGACTTGCACTCGCAACTGTATACTTAGTCTCCGATTATTTAAAGATTTTGTTCGATAATAAGACACTTTTCTCATGTCATCGAAAACTGCGTAATAATATATACAAGATAGTATGTTTTTTACACCTTACGGGTTATTTATATAAGTGCAGCAGTAGGTTGTATATCGCGTAAGCTTGCATTTCCTATCTAACCCGTCTTAAAACTACGATTTTGTAAGCATGATTTCTTACAATTTTCATCGTCAACCTTAATTTTTTTTTATACGAATAGAAAGATGGGAACTCAAAGAATATAATTCAATTTTATTAACCTGGGTTGGGTTATTTATAATTTTAACATTGAGGCCACTGGAGCCGCCTTAAAGGAGTGAACTTCAAGCCTTGGTTCTTCCAGATTTTGTTCTATGAAGAGTTTAAATAAAGGCACCGTTAGATTCGGCGTAATCAAAACTGTTTCATGACATACATCTTATTTGGTGACATTAGGGCAAGGGAGCCTCCTTAAGAAGGTTTGGATGGTTTTTATTAGAATGATGAAAATCTCTGAGACTAAGATATTATATTGATAAATTATGCCAAATTTTGTTGCGATAAAAAAATTCTGTGGTTCACCATTTTCGTAGCAACAACGTCAGAGGTGATAAGTACTGACAGTCTCAGGCTCAAAACTCTACAACACTTAAGCATTGATATAGTTATTAAGGTATCTTGAATGTTACAAGTCACATTATGTTCGGAAATTTTATACTAGCAACGATTTAGTACTAATAGAAATACAAAAAAATTAATTAATTGTGCAAGTAAAACACCAAAATTACTTTATAGTTACATTTTTAAAAAGAACAAACAGTTTCCTTACTGCGTCGTAAAATCATGCAAAACAATAATAACAATGATATGAGAGTGAATTAAAAAGAATATTCCAAATTTGTGTCTACTTTTTAAATAATAGTTTTGAGACACACCCTCGCAAACAATTTTTTTCTTTTCGTGTTGTTATGCAGCGTACGAGAAAAGTCTAAAACTCAAGGTTTAATCGTTTTTAAGATTGATGTAATATTCAAAGTTAAGTTGTAAAACATGAAACAATAAAACACTTTTTGTTTAATTACTAAAAATTTTTAATTTTCATAAACTACGTACAAGTAAAAAACAAATCAAAGGCATTAAAGCAAGTTCTAAGTTTAGATTCGTTGCCTCCAATTTGGCCATTTTGATAAAAAGTTACAAGTAAATAAAGTTATATTACAAAACAATTTCCCAATTTCCTCTCAAATAGTAATTTAAGTACTTGGTGGTACATATATCTCTAAAGTACGTACCAGGCCCGAGGGACCTACGAAACAGGGCCCGAGGGACTCCTTATGCTCGCCCTGGTACGATGTGCACTAGGTGCGAAATTTATCTTTCTTACTGAGGGTGCAGTCAACGTTCAAAGATAAAAAGATGCTCACGCAGAATAACTATTTAGCACAACAGGTAACGCAATTTTTTTCCTAGAGCGTACTTTGTACAATGTAATAACTTTGCACCAACGGACGAAAATAAAGATTCTGCCTTTCCAGGTCTTTAGTTTATTACCACTCAAAGTAATTCGCAGGCACAAAGTTGCACTGCGTTGCAAAAAATTTTGTTCAGAACTTGAGCTCAAACATAAAACAATTGTCCTTTAGGCACATACTTTGGACTTTCCACTGTAAGTATGAAATATACTATTTTTAATTTCAATCTAGATAAATTTTTTTGAAAGTAATTTTCAGAAATAATTTTTTTTTAGTCATCCTCCTCCTACTTAACTAGACAGGCTCTTAGAAACAGCGTTTCGGACCATGATAGAATTTTGGTTTCCTTTGACTCAAATGTCAAATATTAAAGTGCATTTTTTGAGCCTCTCCACTATTTTTATGACATAGTTCGAAAAAAGGTTGTATAAAAACATTTCAACGCTTAAAAGAAGTAGCTAAAATAACTTGTACAGTCACAAATGTCAAAAATAAGTTTATTTTCGAGTTAAATTAGCCTGTAAGTAGTAATGCTTACTACTGTTTTGTACCTTTCAAAAACTTTGCTGAAGCTTATGTCAATCACTACACTTTGAGCTATGAAGCAAATATCTGCAAAAAAGAAATTTACTTTTACGTAATTTATTGTAACTTAAAAAATATCGTAGTATCTCAAATTTAATAAATAAAAAATAAAAAATTGTAAACTTCAATATATAAATGCGGTTAATTTAAAGATTCTTAACTTTTCTGAATCTTCAAATAGTAACTGATTGTTGTGAGACCTAGCTGAACATTTTTGTATCTGTATGTATATGATTGTAATCTTACGTATTACATATCTACTTATATTTTTATCTTAATACTTATTCATAGAGAAAATGAGAATCATACAGTTTTTTTTTTGTTCTTTGAAAGAAGAAAAAATTATAAAAAATAGCGTACATTCAAATTCTTATATCTTCATTGTACGAAACAGTGGATTTGTATATCATTTCTTACCATTTTCAAGTAATTTTTGTTTTTACATAGGATCAACCTACCCATGAGTTTCAAGTAGTCACTAGATGACAGAAGCGCAAAAAAAAATAAAGATGATCCGTATTATTAGATTCGATTATATTGTTCATATGCGTTATAAGCTTGCAATAAGAGTGTGTGAAAAATGTAGATACACTTTTACGTAGCAGTTTTTGTTTTTCTCGTATGCTTGAGATTTAGGACCATGTAAGCTAAGGTTTCTCGACAGAAAAATTACGGTAGTGATTGTGTAGTAAATCCTGCAATTTCCACTCTTTTATCAGAAAATATTAAAATATTTACTGTGTTTCTGTTAAGTTGTGACTTGAAAAGTGAACTTCAGTTTCTGAAGCGTAATGTGTAAAATAAATCATTGATTGCACTGTAGTTATGAGCTATAATTTTAATACTATACAAGTACTATACAAGAACGTAACATAGTACTATACAAGAACGCAATTACTTTTTTATATGAATACTTAAAGCTGTTGTAATTTACTATTTTTGGATTTACATTTATTTTTAGTATAAGAAATAAAAAGAACGATTAATAAGAGTTGCTTAACTGCCGGAAAAAAATTTGATCCATATCTGTTCAAGTCAGTGCTTAAATAGTACGTAAGGGACTCAATACATTTTTACGATTAAATGAAATTCAGGATTTAAGAAAAGTTCATTTGAAGGTGTAGTTATAAGACGACAAATATCAAACTGTATGACTGAAAGTGAATATGCAGTAATTACACTTTAACTCTTGTATACTGTCATCCAGCGGTGGGAAAAGTGCCAATGAAAATGTCAATGACTTATTTTTACACATAGGTCAATATCATAGCAGGTATAACATAACTATGGTCAGAGTTGGATTTAGTGGAAAGATTTACATCTGACTCTTAGAATTGACTCTGAATTAGCAAGCAAAGAAACAAAATTTGTTCTCATAAGCAAATTTTTTGCATCGTTAATTAGGAACTCTTGATACTACAGAAATAATATTTATATTCTTCTGCTTATTAAATACTTGTGCACAAATTTTGTTACACTTAATTAATTTCCATTTTTAGATTTGTTCTAACTCCTTCTGGTCTTTAGTCATTTCGAATATGTCAAAAATGTGTTTCTTAACATTTTTAGGTAAGAATATTAAAAAATCTGACTTGATAGGGAAATTTAGTAGAAATAAAGCGTAATTCCACGTTACTCCAAATACTAATATTATTATAAAAAGTCGATACAAGCCCGAGTATCAATTAATAAATTTATACAAACATAAACTTTTGAAAATCGTTCATGTCTTTCAAGTAACTGATATAAATAATTTTTTTTAAAAAGAAAACTCTAAACTTTGTGGGTGCATGTTTAAGGTTCTAAAAAGTTTTATTTTTATGCCTAAACTTTAACTCTCGTCAATACTCAGAATTAAAAAAAAAAATGTTCAAATTAACTGATTGTAACCTCGTTTTTAATAGATTTTGTACATCTAAAGTAAATCTAATGAGTAGATACTAAATTGTTTTGTCCTAAACTTCATGCAATGAATAACCTATAAATTATTTATTTTTCAATTTAACTTACTTTGCACCATCTGGGAAAATAAAAACTCCTAATCCAGAACATAAGCCATTCTGAAACGATCCATCATACCGCGTCTTATCAGGTAATAGTAAAGATCCAGCACCAGTTTTCAATCCTCTTGGATTCCAATCACCTATATACCGTGTTCCATCTTCATACTTATACATTCCAACTTTTGAAATACCTGAATCCATGTATAAACAGTAATAACGTTGTAAAATTATAACCACAAATTATTTTCATACCAAACAAATCTCTGATAAATGCACTTGGCATTACTTACCTCCTTCCATGATAAAAGTGTAAGAACCTAAGGCAGATAATAAATTTAATTATGTCGGTAAAATTGTGTTAGCATAAATCGATAATAATTATAAGACTACAAGTAAGCTTATCTTTTTTGTACATCAAGGAGAATAAGACATTTACAATGTTAACCGTGTAAAATATACAGTCTACGTTGGCTAAAAAGTCTTATTAGATTAAGTGAAAAAGAATGTTGTAAAGTGTTAAAATTCAATTTATTAAATGTATCTGGATCACAAAAATACCATTATTTTTTGGAAAACGGAAGAAGCTTGTTTTACTAGTATCCTTTTTGCGATTAACACGTATCGTAAACAGTTTCGTAAAAAGTAAAGATGTATCATCTTATTTTCTGCTCAGTAGGTCAAGTATCTTATCTACTTGGTTACAGTAGATTCGATGCGGTCTCAAAAATTTTGACTCCTATAACTCACACTTGTAACAAGTGATGTTTTCTGAAATATTTTTTTTTTTTAACGGTTTAAGTAATAAATAATAATAAATTTTATTTACAACAGTTTTGTTTTCTTGACAAGAATAAATATGGCGATGAGTATTCTGTATAGTCTTTGTAGCATTAACCTGTAATAAGATTTGGCACACGCATTTGTTTCTGAAGATAACAATGTTTTAGGTAGTCAATGTTACAGTAAATCTAATATTGTGGCTACTATTGAACAGAGGATTACACTTTTCCTTTAATGTCAGCGCACTTCCAAAACAAAAGCTACTTAATCGTATGACGCAGTTTGTGTTGGGTCTGTAAAGCATTAAGACTTACAAGTAATTATGAAGAAATTCAATGGTTATGCTGTTTATATACATAGCTAAGCGCACACACTAAATCTGGAAATAGTAGACTCTTGCAAAAACATACCACTGGTAAAGAATTTTTGTAATGGTATCGAATTGTTGTGTGGCATTTTTCACCACTAGTGAATATGACAGTATTCAAAAGATGCAAAAAATTCTTGAAATAGATACTAAACGTGTAATGAGAGCTGTAATTAAAACTAGATGGAGCTGTCATGTCAAAGACTGCAGAGCAGTATTAAAGAGGTGTGAAGCTGTCAATCAAGCTTTGGATCAGGGATGGGTAAATAGTGCGACATTGAATTTACGACACGTCGCATGTATAAAAATATCGCACATGTCGTAAATTACATAATATGTCATATATGACACCAACTTTCGAACCAAAATAATTAGCGCGCTAAATTCAAATGAGCAAACAATAAACTAATCCCACTGAACCCAGACAAGCCAGTCAATCATGTGATTAATTCGTTAATCAAATACATCAACTAATTATGCGGCTAAACAGGTAATACTGCTGAATCCAGTCCGATAACGTCAATTAACTCATCCATCTTAAACTATCAGCTCATTATCTCACTTGCAGACTTATGGAACTTAGGACCCTTGAGAGGGCTCATACTTACATGAAATAAAGTAGGTATTCAGATGCATAACCTACATTTAGCTAGTAAATCGTGAATTATTTTTAGTTTCTCGTACATAAAAACATTTATTTTTCATCAAACTTACATGGTTTGAATTTTATTAATATACTGTAGTTACATTTTAATATTGGAATACAATTATAACACTCAATTATTGTAATGATTTTATTTTACATTTTGAGTTAGAAAATAGACGCTGAGAGGTAAAAAAAAATTTTCCCGTATTTTTATTTTAAATTTATAAAAGTTGCTTATCGTTTATATGATAAGCACATAACTTTACAAACATAATTTATAAAAACATTATTATGATTAGGAAAAAGCTTATTGATGAAGCTTTTGCTGCGTACTTTTTCGCCAGCAATATTTCTTTTATGAGCGTGGAATCTGAGTTTTTCATTAATTTTGTCAGAGCATTAAATCCAGATTATACTCCTCCAAGTAGGAAGATCTTAGCAGGTCCTATTTTAAATAAAATGTAAAATGATTATCGTGATTTGATTTGATCAGAAGAAAGAAAAGATGGAATCCTAATGATCGATGGCTGAAAAAATAAAGTGGCAAACACTAAAAACGTTGTTGCAATTGTAAGGACAACAAATGGACACAATAAGTTTCTTAATTCTTATAATTTCAGCGAGCTTAGAGAAACAGGAGAAGAACTCAGTGAAGTTGTAAATGACTGTGTTAACATTGCTTTAAATCAATTTAACATTAAAATTCAAGTTGTAATCACTGATAATGCTTCGAACATGATAAACATGGGAAGAAAAGTAAACATCTGGCATTTAACATGCAATAGTCACTCTGGGAAGTTGCTTTTTCAGTCAATGACTAATATTGATGTTGATGAAGCAGTATTTCAAATCATCAAAGACTTTAAAAGTGAAAATTTCCAATCACAATTTTTAAATTTAGGAGGCCGTAAAATGGTCCTGCCTAGAACTACACGTTGGGCAGTAAAAGAGATGCATATAAAAGGTGTTTACGAAATATTTATGCTATGAGAGAAATAATTAGAAAAAACCAATTGAAAGAGCGTGAGGATCAACATACTTTTTAAGAAGGAGTTATAGAAACAGTTTTGGATGATGAATTTGGAGCAAAACGAACTGAAGCTTTAATAAATTATGATCCAGTTTGTCATCTAGTTAATTCCTGTCAAAAAAGTAATTGTAGTAATGCGTATGCTATGAAATTGTGGTTGAATCTCAATTTGCCTTACAATGAAGATGGCCATTTTAATCAAGTGTTAAGAGATTGTTTAAAAAGGGTTGTTAATAATTTCGGTCTTGCAGATAATTATCTAAATCCTCATTTTAAAGGCCGAGTATTTAGAAATAATAATGCTTATGTTGTTTTGTGCAATTAATTTTTTACTTAAAATTAAGATGACAACGGTTGAATGCAGTTATAAAAGTATTCTAAGCAAACAGGAATTTTTTAAAAAGATTGTTCAAACGTCGATTCAAGACGTGGAAGGATTTCTAGCGCACTGCACGATGCTTTTATCCTGAACTTTCGAACTTGGCTGAGAAATTGCTTACCATTCCAGCATCCACAGGTGATTTAGAAAAATTGTTCAGTGAATGGTCACTTGTCCATAACAAAGTTAGAAATAGGCTTAAAGAAGAAACTTCCTAGAAATTAATTGCACTTTATTATAAATTTAGACTAAGATATGCAAACTTGTTAGATCTTAATCATGAAACTAACAACGATGATAATGATAGTGAGAATGACGATTAATAAAAAATTTTATAATTCATTTGCAAATGTTTTTTATAAAAATTATGAACAAGTACAACCCTTATAGAAGTACTTATTTATTTTGTACAAAATTTATAACAAATACTTTTGTATTAACACGAGATATCTTAAAATTACGATANTGGATCTTTCACTTTTTTTTAAATATATATTTAAATATACCTGCTTTGTCTTGATAATCAAAAAAACTAGCAAGCAAAGCATTATCAGATGTAACATCAAGCATGAAAGTCATAACTTTTCAAACAAGTTCTATGTTATCAGCAAATAAAAAACCTCTATAACGTGGATGCAAATAATTAGCTGTGAGAGATGCAGGATTACAAATTGACAAAGTATATTCATTTAAAATTTGTTCAAATGATTGATCTTCAGTAGACAATACTAAAAGCAATAAATCTTGTACTAAGTCAGTTTGATAAGAAATTGTATTTTTTTTAGCAACAAATTATTTAGTTTTTTCAAACAAATTAACTTTGTTTTGAATTTTGCAATTAATTTATCTTCAAATAGTAAAGGAATGTGCTTTGTGTTACAAAAATAAATTTTTTTACCTATAATTTTACAAAAAGTGGGTAGATTACGTAAACAAGTTTGTACTCCTTCATAATACGTTTTTAAATCTTTGTCGTCAATGTACAAAGTTTAAAATTATATTTCTCTTTTAAAGCATAAAGATCAAATTCTCTTTGAAATTCATTAATTAGTTTAATCAATTCTGAAGGTATGACAGATTTAAATATATTTTTAAATCTTAGCTCAAAGCAAACATAATAAAAAAAGAAAATTCATTTAAATAATTTAATTAATCAAACAGATTAGCATTGTAATTTGATACGATTGAAAAACTTTTAAAATTGTACTTATTTTGAAAATTTTTAATGGATCTTTTGACAAAGATTTCAAAACTTTTATAGCTGTTTTTATTACTTAAAAACTTATACTTTTCATTTTTATGGATAGTTACGCACAGTCCTGTATTCAGATTATTGATGGTAATTATAAAAACTACCTCAATTGGTTAAAAATCATTTAGCTTACTTACGTGTTCTTGATAAGCGTTGTCAAAAATTTGATTTTGCAACAAATTTGTGTCTGGTAAAAACTGTGGGTATGCAGGTCTTAAATATTGTATGAGCTTAGAGATATATTTGGACTTTACGGAGTTAAAATCAATATTATTTGCTATCATATACTTAAGTAAGCATTCATTGATTTTATTAGCTTTGTCTTCAGTGATTTGGTCAACATAAGATTTGATCTTATTTTTTGGTTTTGAAGCTTTTACAATCAAAGATTTTTTTGTTGATTTGCAAGATGAAGGTTTTTTCCTAATAGCAATCTAAAAATTAAATATTTTTTACTCAAACAGATTTGAGAATTTTTTTGCATAAAAATTATGGTAAAGTGACAATTACCTTTTTCAATGGCTCAAAGTTGGGCACTTGAGCAAGACTTAAATTTTTTTCATTGTCAAGCATTTCATTTTCCATTCTGAAATCTTGATCAAAACTACTTTGTGAACAATCATCTGAGGATGTCACTATAGTGCTTAAGCTTTCACGAGCTTTACGCTTGACTGTACTTGGATTTGAAGATTCTCGAAAAAAAGTTTCTTGCGTTTTTATTTCATTGAGATCTAATTGACAAACGTGTCTGTAAACATGTCAAAGAAAAATAATATTTATTATTAAACTGTAGCTGCTCTAAGGATGTTTAATAATATAATTATAAGAGAACAATAAATGTAAACAAAGTAAATTTTGTTTTGAGATTATGAGACTAGAATATAAAAAAATTACTTGACTGAATTTTTTTTTACCTGTGGCTTTCTACTCTTTCAACAGCTGTGTTATTCACTGTGTTTTTACATTGCCAACACACTGCAACATTAGTTGATTTTCCGTCTTTATTTTTGACTGTTTTAAGAGTGAATCCTAAAGTTTTGTAAGCGCCATGGCGAGGTCTTCCTACTCAATCCCCCATCATCAATTTATGTAGACTTTTCTACAATTAACTGCTAGTCCGAAACAATACTTTATTTATCATCTTAAGTTTCATTTATCAAAGTCAAATTAGATACTAACAGTACTTACCTACTTGAAAACTGCTGATCGACGCATGGCTATTTTTGATGAGTCGTAAGCCTCAGTAACGTAAAAAATTATGGTCCAGGTTTGTGTCATTTATTTCAATTTTTGACGTGTCTAAGATTCAATTTGCGACACGTCATAAATGACACGGCCATCCATACTTTGGATGAAGAGGTTGCTAACAACTGTAATAAACTTGCTGTAGAAGCACTTGGTTTGCTAACGATTATAAAGAAGAGATAGTTCATAGTATCGCTACACGTACCGCAGCTGAAAATTTGTCATAAGATCTTACGTAAGTTCTTGCGTAATTTCTTACGTAATTTCTTATGTAAGTTCTTGAGTAAGTTCTCATATAAGTTCTCTTAACAGAACTTGTGTCAGAACTTGTATATAAACTTGCATTTGCTTACTAACCAAGAACTTACTTAAGATCTTATGTAATTTCTTATGTAAGTTCTCATAAAAGATCGTGTATCAGTCGTTTAACCGTATTTAATCACTATCTAGATACATACATAATGAATGTAAGAATTTTTTCCTGCATAAAAGCTGTTAGAATAGCTAATATAAAATAGTAAATACAAAAAAAGTATCTCTTACCTGCACTAAAAAGATTTGAACCTGGTCCAGGGAGTCTCTAGGCAAATGTCTTACTGACTTGGCCAGAGTGGATTAGATGTATGGGAAAGAGTTGACGCCCTCATAAGGTAGACCTGCTACTTACATCGATGTTATTAAGTCCTCAAGTTATTGCTCTTTAGAATCTCTGACACTTGTTGAGAAACGTTTTTCCACTTATTATTTAAATCAAATACTTTTTAAAAAAACTTTATTTCATGTGTAAACTTATATTTTAAGAATTGATACAATTTTTTGAGTAATGTATAAATAAGAGTAACATTATTTTTACAGCTGGTTTTTGACACCAACATTTAAGTATTAAAGAGAAAAAGTCAATCCTCAACTTTGTGGTAGCAATTAAAATAAATTCATTACACTTTTAAAAAAAGATAATTTTTTCCTTAGAATAAAAAGTATAAGTAAAGTTCAAATAAAATCCGTGAACGAAAAGTAGTTGTGAAATCAATTACAAGATTGATTGTCGAGAAACGTATTATCAAACTCAAACCAATGTTATACGTACGTTTATAAAATGTTTATCAACCAATGAGGTTACCAAGGTGGTAAATGTTATCCACAAAATAAGAAAATTAACAGTTTTAGAAGTACCTTATGAGGACGTCAATTCTTTCCCATGTATCGAATCCATTCTGGCCAAGTCTGTAAGACACTTGCCTAGAGAATCCCTGGACCAGGTTCAAATCCCCTTAGTGGAGGTAAAAGACACTATTTTTTTGTATTTAATAATTTATATTAGCTATTCTAACAGCTTTTATGCAGAAAAAATTTTAAAATTTACTGTGTTTGTATGTAGATACTAATTAAATGCATTTAAACGACTAATACACGAACTTTTTCAAGAACTTACGTAAAAAATTTCATAAAATCTTATGTAAGTATTTGGTTGATAAGCAAATGTAAGATCGTGTACAAGTTCTGACATAAGTTCTATTTCAAGAATTTATATGAGAACTTACATAAGACCATATGTAAGAAATTACATAAGAAATTATATAAGAAATTACATAAGAACTTATAACAAATTTTTACGACACTCAGTTCTTGTAATGGTTTATATTCTAAGCAAATTTTTCTGAGACCAAAAACGTAACTCGGGGACAGGCTAGTGATTTAATTAACAGCACAATATATATACTCTTAAAACATCCAAAAACAAGTTTAAAATTTGGAAAAATATCGAGGAGCTTGCTAAAGAGTATGGAATATCATTGGAGCCTGCTAGAGTATTCAAAAGAAGGTGTCATGAGAGGAACTCTTTTGTTAAGACAACCACTGGTAAAGGCACCACTTTAGATTTACCGCGTGATATGCAAGCCAAGAATTACTGGAAAACAAATATTCGTTATCAGATACAAGATAGTGAGACTGACAATTTAAGACGTCAATTCAAAAATCTTTTGTTGGCAAAAACAGTAGATTCACTTTTTTTATTAGACTTGGAAACTTTATCAAAAATTATAAGAACACTTTCAAAACTGATTCTGTAGCACCAAATGCATAGGCTACAATAATAAAGAATATCTTGAAGTCAAAAAATGGTGATATAAACTTAGACACTAAAAAAATATCACACAAGAATTTCGCCCTAATTTGTAGAAATTACTGCAAGCACCGTTAGTGCTTGCAGTAAGCTCCGTTATTTGGGGATGAAGTTTCTCTGTAATGTGGTGAATAAAATTATGGCTTAGAGCAACTATGCTTCAAAATCACTTTTCACATATGTCTTTGTTGCATATAGAGAATGAAACTGTGAAAAGAACGGCTTCCGATGCAGTTTCAAACTGTTTTATTAAAAAAATAGACAATTGCAACGCATTTAAGAATTTTACTAGCCAGATACACGAATAATTTATAAAATATATACAAATTTCCATTCTATTCACTTTAATTAAACAGTTTTGTGTGATTAATTCATCAAAATTAATTTTATAACTCTTCTAATGGAATAACGCCTGAAACTACCGAAAGTGATTGCAATTTTAATAAATATAAAAAAATACATAAAAAAANTTTTATTTTACAGTCATTTATGAAAACTATGCCCAATAGGCTCGGCATTGCTGTGTTACTCTGCATGCATATGTTATCGTCATTAGCATATTAAAAGGCCGCTTCAGATTTACTGTGATCAATCACTTACACAGCAATGGGGAACTTATTTTACATGACTTCCGAACCATCGAACAATGGTTGGAAATACGCACTTAAGCAATCAGTTTCTCAGAAGTGAATATGTAAAGATTGGATGTCGAACTCAGAAGCCTGTGCTACCAAGCTTCCAAACCATAACAACCACAACCCTAACAACCATGCTACCATGGCCGCAGTAACGTTTCTTGTGAACCTTTCTATGATCAGCATCAGTACTTATACCGATTTATATTCGCTCCGTGCATGACACGCAGCGCCGCCCTCGGTGTCAGAATCGCGCAATACCGTACCCCCGTATGATTAAATCGTAACACTGTCGCTTATAGGAGAAAGTATTATTTATTGAATAAGACGTACATACTGCTATCGCGTAAACATCAGCACCCTAAAAAATGGATATGATTATCCAAACAGGCTTTAAAAGTATAAGTTGCAACATAGTTTTTAATAATGAAATGCTGAAAAAAGCTAAAAAATTAGCAATAATAATAATAAAAAAAATTCCGTAGGTTAGGTACGAACTTTTGTCTCCTAACTGCCCTAATCCACAGCTCCTTCAGTTTTGTTTCATGGGATCTACTTGGGAATTTATACAGCACCACCCTTTGCTTTTCTTTCTTATTGCAATTAACAACGCAGCACTGTCTCGTACGCATTTCGTTACTTTGCAAACGTGAACACTGATTTAGATTATACAGCTAGCGGCAGCCTTAGTACGTCGACTGCTTGGAGTAGTTGGAGTTCTTGCTCTCACGTATACAACATTACAGATAAGTATGTGTGTTGTGTACTATATGACAGATGATATTGAATAACCCATTATTTAAAATTTCGGGCGATTTGAAGTGTCTATCAAAATTATTTATCCGTATTTTAGACCCGGTTTGGCTAAATAACATTTTTTTTCCGCCTTCGATTTCTCAACGAATTACTTTAAATGAAATAATATATTTTCTCATATAAGACAACGCTTACTGTAAGATTCATGGGGGTACGGGTTCGCCAATTTTGCTCACCTACAGCGCTGCAGTCGTTTTTTTTATCCCATCCAACCTGATGCACGGAGAAAATGTATGTGCATGTGTGTGTGTGTGTGTGTGTTGGGAGATGACTTTAATCTTTTTGTTTTGTCTTCGTACTTTTGGACCGGATACTGCATTGAGAGAGACTCAAGTGGGGGTCTTTGCTATGGGCGTGTTCTGTTGTTAAGAGACGATGCGCGTGTGAAAAATTGGAAACATGGGTGTGTACCGCCCATAGAGATATTATAGATAGAGTAGGCAAGCCACCGATTCTTCTGTAAGTGAAAACGTTAACACGATAACAAGAGATGCAACATCGGGCTACCATTTCCGTCAGTCTCTGTGGTCGCTACTGATTGCCTATGCCTACATATATGTAAAACATCTGTAGCCACTTAGCAGCAAGCGCCGAGAGAGGTAGATAGGTAGCTCGATATTGCATCTCTTTTTAACTTGTTAACGCTTTCACTTACAGGCTTGCCTACTCTATCTATAATATCTCTATGGTACCGCCGCCAAGGGAATAGAGGGGCTCCAGCGCTGAAAACAGGGAAAGCGACAAGGGCTGCAAAGGGCAAACGGATCGAGCAGACTTGGTCGTGAGGTGCTCCAGATAACAGAGCGGACGGAACATCAAGAGAGCAAGTGGGTACTTTACCCATAGTCCTTCGTGGTAGCCCTCATTAACAGGGAAAAATTAAATAAGAGCGAAAGTCCTTTTGTCATCAAACGATTGAATTGGCAAACCTTCACTCAACCCGCGAAGGTATTGGGAGTGATTTACCCAAGGTTAAAGTCATTTCTGTTTCTTCTGCGTATTTGTGACACTAGTGCTCGTTATTCTCTAATGGTTCCTGAAGGTCACTCTGTTTCCTTAGATTGAAAAATCGCATGTCATCCATGCCATTTATTTACCTTCTATATCTAACGTAACTGCATATTTGTCCATATTATCGGAAAGAGAAGAATGTCACTGCACTGTAAATACTTCTGGTGTTTATCAATTTGAAGTTCCATGTATTAAATGACTTACACATGTTCTCTTGCTTATTTTGGTTCTAATGTTACACAATTTATGGATAACTAGAACTTTTTTTTTTTACTGCCTTCAAAAAATACATTACGGTATTTTTATTTTTGTATCCTTCTTTTACTATCTGTGTAAAGGTGGTTTTAGTGACGAGTGTGTCTTCTTTTACGATTATATATAGCCACCAAATTAGATCTTGGGATAGTTTTATTATTGACAAAACTTAAAATATACATTCAAAAAATTTAAGTGTAATTAAATATTTACAAATAAGCACACAAATTGATCTCTAGGTTTGTTTTTGACGATTAAGTAGGAAAAAAAATTAATGTAGATGCACGAATGTTGGAACGTGTCCTAATTGTAGAACAAATTTTGCAAACTGATCCGATACAAATAACTTAAAGTATATCTGGCTGAATAAATGTTGACCTTTAAATTGTAATCGTTAATTGTAAACATAATTTTTTTTTATTATAAAATAGTGTACCAAAAATGTCTTATAAAATGCCTACAATAAGTGATGAATGATGTGGTTAAATTTGTATGCTTACCCTTAGGATATTCCTATATTCCTGTCTTTTGATTATTAATTACAGTATTTGATAAACTTAAGTTTTTTGAATATAGCTCATAACAAACAAAATAAAAAATTTTCTAGCGCAGTCAGAATGAATCGGAGACAAAAGCAAAAGACTATCAATAAAGACCATTAAATTTTTTAGGAATCAATAAAAAGACGTACTTTACTCATTTCTGCTTTCTAATTCTATTATCTTTCATTGATTCTTGATTTATTATGGCAAGGGAGCGAGGGAATGGGGGATCAACAATTATGATAAAAATCGTTTTTTCATTCGTTAAACGAATAGTGAATTGAAAACAATCAAAAAATTATTATTAATCATAAGAACATAATTTATTATTTTTCTCAAAAAAAATAGACTTTTAATGTATCGAATATTGTGTTTTATTAAAATATAGAGCTGAGGGATGTAGTTTTATATAATATATCAAGTTTTGTCAAAATATTTCATATTACATTAGAAAAAGCGTTATTTGACACATACTTTAAAAAGTGTTAAATACAACATAATTATTACTGATCGTGTCACATGAAAATCAACCACGTACTCACTTACATCTTATTTCTTAGTAAAACACTTCCTTGTTTGTAAAAGATAAGTTAAAAATAATATAATGACCTTACAAAATTAAAAAGGTCTTTAAATATCAACTGCAACATATGTTGAAAAAGATTATCCATTGTATGTATTGCGGTTTTCTTCATTATCAGAAGGGGCTTAAAGGTCCTTTATATTATTAGATATTGGTGAATTTTTCCTAAAATTCACATTAACTGCAAGGTATTAAAGGTAATAATTTTTAAATTTATCTGTTTTCTTTATTTAAACAATCTTACGATAAGCTGTTTGTTGTACAACAGGTATGATACCTTTTTAATTGCTGCTACTGATGAAAACTGAATATCGTATAAATTATGGTTATAAAAACAGTTTAGTTTTGTGGTGAAACTGTCACATTAAAATCTTATTCTTTATATCTTCAAGGTTGGGACGATAAGAATTTTCTTTCAGTTTATGATTTGAACACTTGTCAGACTTATCGCTTAAATCATTCAGTTCTACGGTCCTTATTAAGACTTTTCAAGAATTTGATTTCTCTGCAGCAAACTTAAAGTCTTAAGAATTATAAATACTTTTCTTTTTTGACATTGATTTTTCTACCTAGTGGTAAAAGTTATCGGCAAACATAAATGTATGGTCTGATTGAAAATAGAAAAATTAACTGTATTGGTTTAAACTTCGACGTCAGAGCTTACGAGATAACTTGAAAAAGAATGAGCCATCGGATTCTTGTTTTGTGCTGAACAGTTATAAAACCTCAAATATATTCATTTTTTTTTATCTCCGTTATATAATGCAGAGCAGTATCATTTCTTGGTTTATAGTCTTAAGTTACCATAAACACTGTTCTGCAGACTTTATTTCACACCACAGTTTTCTGACGGATAACATTTACAATTCCTTCTTTATTTTGTAGTATCGACTTTTTGACGTTTTTTTGGTGTATTTTTAATGTAGTGTGCAAGTCATAGGCTTTAATTATTCGTGGGTAGTAAAACAAAGTTCATTAATTTTTAATCTCAGATCTTGACAAATATTTGCAACACACTTTAGTTCCCATTTTTTGGAACAAGAAGGTAGCCAAGTGTTTTTATTACATTCAACGCTATTTTTACGCAAAATTTCCCTTTTACTACCAAAGAAATCCAGTATATTTTAAACTCACTATTCATAATCGTGAGTTTGTGACAAATTTTTAGCACATACAGCCGCATTATTAAATTATTTGAACATAGAAATTTGTTTCTAATGAGCCCAGATCTCATTATTTTTCTTGAAGGTGATAAATTTTTAATAAGGACATCGATACCAGGAGAATTTTTTGACAAGCTCAAAACTGATGGTGCAGTCGACTGCCTACCTTCTATTTGATTAAATAAAGAATAATCACTTGAGTACTTGGAAGACCCAGTATCAGGTGAGGACCGGGTAAGAAAGTGATTGGGCTCATGAAGATCGAGTATTGTGTAAAATGATGCTCGAATGTATTAGTCTTTATAGTAAAATGTATTCTATTCGTGTGCAAAACCATAAGTTGATTAAAAAAGCAAAAAGTGTGAAATTATATGTTGTCATGACAAAAACAAAAATTTGAAGACTACGAACATTGTTTATTTAAGAAATATAAAATCTCATGTGTGCAAAATATTATTTGTTTTAAGCACCATGACGTTGTTACTGAAGAACAGAAAAAATAGCTCTGAGTCCGAAAGATGACAAGCACTATTCACTGCTGAACTGTACAGATACACTTCCTTGGGGCGTAAACTCATAATAAATCTGGAGGATAAAGCATTCCTTGAAATTCTACTGCAGCAAAACGAGAAAGTAAAAGAAGAAGACAGAGAGTGACAGCCAGTGGAAGATGTTGGGGTAGGGAAAGCTTTAGGAGAGGAAATATTCTTATATCAGGAGCTACCTCAGGCTACGTAGCTCATTTTAACGCTGGCTGAGTCGGATATCATACCAGCCTTTCTGCAAGTAAGAGACAGAATCTAGCCCTACAGAAAGGAGTATACTAGCCTGTGAAAGTCATTCCAACGTCAAACTAGCCAGAGAGTACATCGAGTCCTTTTCAAACAATATACAAAGATCTTGACTCTTCTCATATATTAAAAAATCAAGTTGGAATTTAAAGTGAGTAGCTATTTTTACCTAATATACTGTCAAATAAAGCATACAATGGCTGAATTTTTGATTTGTTTTGGAAAATGAACTTCGTCAGGTTAAACCGTATCTCAAAAAACATTTACCTCCCAGCAAGGAAGTCATCAGACTTGGAGAGAGATAGGAGATACATGGTGACAGAACAGAAAGATTTTTACCCACTTTAGGTGCAAGGTCATCATCACCGTCGATAACAAGTTCCAAGTTTTCGTTCCAGAGGGCATCTCCAAAGCCATGGAAAAAAATGAAGACTTGTATAATGAACTGAGGGAAAAAGTTTAAGAGTGTGCTTTGTTCATAGTTTCTCATGCCGATAATAAGTTTCAGTTTGTGGATTTGTTATATAAGCTTGTCATTCTTTGTTTATTGTCTCACTGACACAGCCCATGCATACTTTAAAAATATGTCAATTACAGTAAGCACATGTCTGTACCCTTTATTTTCTGTAGCATAAGGTATCCTTTTAGTGAGATCAGCTTGCCATGTTTCATCCAATCCTCGTATATTATACTTTTGACGTGGATAGTTACGGCGAGCTGGTTTCTGAAGCTCCTTCATCACAACTTTTTTTTTGCGATCCATCTTCGTTGACGTCTTGTAAGTGAATACGAGGCAAACATCACACGTACATACAAAAAGTCCATTAATCTACTTTAATTAACTTCTGAAGTAGCATGAGAAATCTGAGATAACATTTCTTTTGAACTTCTGAGTTTCTGCTCCAAATTCGCTACTTTCCGAGTCAACGAATTATTCAAGTAACTTAAAATTGCTTTTAGCTTATCTCGATCGTCAACTATAACTTTCGTATCTTTCTGTAAACTACTAAGATTTATGGCATTGTTGAAGTTAATGGCTGCTACAACATTGCACAATCTTATATATTGTGAATCGTACTGACCATCAGCAGTGAATTTACATTTAATACCAGGAGGATCTCGGTTTGTTTTCAGTCTTACTCAGCTTACGTCCAAATACGTCGATGCTCATTACGATACTGACTTAAATTCACCTTTGACTCAGTAAATATACTCTCCTTCTCGTAACTCTTCCATAATCGATAATATCTCATTATAATGGCTTGGATTTCCTGTTGGTTTATCAGCTACAAGTAAGCAGAAGCAATCCACCAGCTTAATTAAATCGTCCTTGTGTACACAGTTCACAGGTTGCTGCTGATGCATTCGCTTTTAGCAATATTATAGTGGGGTGATAATGATCCTTTCTTTTTACTGCTGAAAAGATCGAATATCAAAGCTATTATTTTTATTAATGTATCACTATTATGTGTTTGAATAGGTCCATTATTGCTCAAACCCTCTAAATGTGCACTTGAAGTTCCAGAAGTACATAATATTTACCGAAATCATCTTTAGTGATGCGAGCTATTTTAGAATGGTTTCCCCAGTAACCCAGCAGTCATAGGAAATCTTATCTTATTCATTCTAAATTCATTGTTATTTTAATTTATTAGTGAATTTCCAAACTTATACTTTCCATCTTCTTTCCGAAGCTCATACACTTTATCTAATAAATATTTCTGGTTTTTGTTAACGATTTGTCAGTATAAGTTAATGTTAGTGTTTTTATTATTATTATCTGTCTAGTTTTGAATAACGACATTTATGCCATCGTAATCATCATTGACATGATCATTATTGTCACTTTTACTCACAGCAAACTCAAACATCATATCTTCATCATTTCTGTATTTTGCTTCTTTTTTCATTTGTTTGATGGGCAGCTTTAGTTTAGGAGTATTATCAAAATAATTATTTATCACTGAACGACTCCTTTTATTCTCTTTCTTTGTTCGCGTAACGATTTGTTGTAAGGAATCGATAATTGGTTTAAAAGTCCAATTAAGTACTCTTTTAACATAATCTTTTTCAAATGTAAATAATCTATATTTTTGTTTTTGACGGCTTCTTTTGCCTTCATCAGCTGATCTTTTTTTTTCTTGTACATGTTATCACTTTGTCTTTTTAGAGTAGACTCATTAGTTTACGCCTTAAGATAACCTTACGGTATCGACCGTTATTCATCTGCCTATCCATGTCGATAACATATTATCATTCCAGTAGCTTGAGCATGGATCTTTAAAGTGACTTTACGACGTATCAGGATTGACGTGATTATCGTATATAAACTTTGTGATCCAAACTTCGAAGAGTTATGGTTATACATTCTAAGAGAGGACGTGATCTCCTGATAAAGTTATAAGCTTCTTACCTGTTGAACTTCACGTACACGGTTATCAGTACTGCGGTCTAGATACTAAACTTATGAAACTTCTTGCCAGAGGTGATCCAGGTATAAGCCCACTAGATGAAGCGTGCAAAGAGCACGATAACACTGAAACGTGTTTTTTTTGGCAGAGAGTGATTTCTTGTCTATAGTATCTGTTGATAGAGTTAGCCGTGCAAAGTAGGCAGAGAAAAATTCCTTAGCTCGGCTGCTGGGTGAATCCTTAGGGAAGGCGTCATGTCACGCTTCGTCCAATAGTTGGTATTTGTAGATGTGTCTAGCTCGCTGGTGAGTGACTGGACGGTGTTATTCTTCCTCCTTAGCAATGGGGCTTGAAATTAGTTTGATAAGCTCGATGATGGGACTGTAATGTTCAAGATCAGTCTTGCTCGAGCGCTCGTGTCGAACGCATGCTTTCTGCACACGCCCATTACGCATCGCTCTTACTCAGACTTGAGTTCTCTCTACACGGCCCTTCTCAGGGCTACCTCTATTTCTCTTTCCGTAACCGCGATTTAGTCGCGCCGCACGACTATGTTTCTGCTAAATCCTACACCCACGTACATGCTGCCCTCAGAGGTGGCCCAAATGGCTAGCCCTTCATTAGGGCACAGCCAAACAGTCAACACTGTAGGTTATATACAATTTAAAGTCGTTATGACAAATTCTTTCGACGCACTGTTGGAAGAAACGGACTCTTCATCTTCCGCGATGTTCGTGCTACATAGTGTAAGTGATAGTGCTAGTGCAGGTGACAATAGTGCACAGTTTTCTCAATGTCTAACATGACAGACAGCTGGCCAAGGGACCAGTTATCCCTCGAGCTGAAGAGCCGAGACCCCTGCGTCATCCGACACAACTCTCAGCGGGAACGCTGCCCACTCTCCTGAGACACAGCTGTGCCTCCTGTAATCGCCAAGGAACTTGACGTACAGAAAAGATGGATGGATTACTTGAAGAAAATAGTAAGTAAGTACTTTGTTCAGCTGGAAAATTTCATCCAGCAACTTAACGCGCTAAAGCGCTTCAACGTGTAGAAATACGTGGCCATTGCAGCACTATCTGCAAAGTCCCCCCTTACAGCGAAAATTCCGCTTCTAAAAGGGCTGGGACTTGCTGTTGAACCATCACCTCAAAATCGTGACCCCTTAAATCTTTTATATACTTCCTCCCTAGAAGCTTAGAAATAACCCCCCCCCCCCGCTACCAGAAATGGTAAACAACACCTCTGCGAAATTCCCAAATGCAGAGCCACACCAAAAAAAATGGCACACGCGTGATCTCGACGCGGAAAATTCCGCAGCAAATTTCTTTGACATGGAAACAGAAAAATCCCTAACCTAAGTTTCACTCCTCAGCTCTTCGCAAGCAGGAAAAAACCCTTCTGACGGTCATCTTGAGGACCAAGCCCAATATGACATGGAAGAAGTCAACAGCGCCCCCCCAAAAAGGCACTTCCACTGATCACAATCTTGGAACAAAAATTACGGCCTAAGATTAACAAAGCCCTCGTAGTGGGGAACATCCCTGTCTGCCATGTACGCCGACAACGTCGACAGTTTTCGACGACTCGTCCACGACCTTGACAAGAAAAAGGTCAAGTTCACCACTTATCAGCTTCACGAGGACCGTTAAATGATAGTCGTCATCCGTGGCGTTAATATTGGCCACACGGAAGCTGAAATCCTGTACATGTCCAGAAGAAAGTTTCCTCAGCCCTTCGTGTATATCGCATGACCAAAGGTGACCAAACCTGGTCTTTGGTCACGGTGTATCTGGATGCATCAGATACTAAACCCCACAACATCTATAACCTCAGGTCCCTCGGAGGCACTTCTGTCAGAGTGGAACAGAAGCGAAAATTAAAAGACATTCCGCAATGTTACCGTTGCCAATAATTTAATCACATGGTAGCCTACTGCCGTGCTGCTTTTGTTTGTAATTTCTGTACCTTAAAGCACGCCACCGCAACCTGTCCTAAAAAGGACAAGGACTAAGTCACCCCTCGTTGTGCAAACTGCAACGGCGAGCACCACGCTTTTTACCGGGGATACCCGAAAATCCCCCAAAAAGGAGCTCAAGCTCCCAAGAAAGTAACTTCCCCTCCTCCCCCTTTTGTGAAATCCACCCTTCGTACAACAGCCCAAAGCTCAAACACCATTCGCCTGGTGATGTCATCAGCGAGAGTGGCATCCTCTCAACAACACCAGACAAGAGCTCGAACCCTAACTCTTCTGCTCAACACACTCCCCACTACCGAGACGATCCTCCACTCTATAATGACCCTGCTGACATGCCTGGACCGAAGAGTGTCTGGTTTTGAGGGCAACAGAACAGCAGCATGTTAGACAGAAACTTTACACTACTCAACTGAAATGCAAACAGTATTACACACAAAATAATCAAACTCACACACATACTTTAGACGAAAAACATCGACATTGCATGCATTACAGAAACGCACTTGGACAAAACAAAAACACTTTATATACCAAATTACACGCTATACAGACTTGACAGACGCAAAAAATCCCATGACGGAGTGGCTATCCTCGTTCGCAAGGGCATCCACCATCGAGTCATAAGTACGGACGCCGCTAACTGGGGAGAATCACGTCAACTGTCCTAGCGCCGCGGTGGACGGCCCGCGCGGGCGTCAAACACGACGTTTTCAACTCGTCGCTTCGGTGTCAAAACTTTGATAAAAAAATTATCTAAAAACATATTATTACGTATTTTTTCTCAGCTTTCTAGTGGTGGCATCAGTTTTTCGAAAATTTGCTCCCATAACCTCGAAAAATGCACTTGTTTGAAAAACACGTTTTATCTCCATGATCTTCAACTTTTGGAATTTTTTTGATAGTCTAGATCGAAAGATGATACATTTTTACGTAGATATCGACAATAAAAAAAAAAGGTTTCTTCGTTTTTATAACGTATATAAACGACGAACGAGACGATGGGAGCCGTGGCGGCCGAGCCATGCGCGGCAGCAGCGCGCCGTCTGCTACCGTCTTTCGGACTGGATGTAAACAAATACACCTAACCGTGACGGTTTGCACTTCGCAACAAGTTTCGATTGATTAATTAAATATTAGTATTCGTTATTTTTATGACTTGAGGTTGTGCTATCGTAAGTCAAAGTTTTCGTAGGTTTTACTGCAAAGAAACAAAGGTTTTTTAGTAGCAAATCTGACTACGAAGAAACTTCCTTGAGATTAAAAGACGAAATTTCCAGTGCGAAACTGATTCCACGGACACTGAATTATCATGCGTTTATCCCCATTAAGGATAATAAATTATTGTTGAAAAAAACTTCTTTGAGTAACCAGTAT